CGCGCCAAATACCAGTTACACAGTTACCGACTGCAGAACTGTCCATCGTGCTGCCGCGCAATCCTGGGAAACCGTACTTACCATCAGACTTACCATCAAAGATAAGTCTGGTATACAATACTATAATCGAATAGATAATTATGCTAAATCAATGGAATCAGAGATAAACTTCAAACGGGCCAACATCAGGCATTAATTAATTAATATATAAAGAAATAAGTCAATATTATGATTATAAATACATTACCTATATAAAACATCATATAAGTTTGTGATAAAATAAATAAGATAGAATATAATTATAGTTAAAACGCATAAAGTAGCCTGACACGATGTAAGTCAATAAGATAATTAGAAAAAATAATAAAAAATAATAAATCATAAAATCAACCCGAATAAGTCCCGCAGATTGCGCAGATTGCAGGACGCACTGCGTTACTGCATGATCACATCGCAAAGAAACAAATTATACAAAAGGCAATGAAGATAAAGGAAAACAACCGCCAAGGAATGAGAGGCCGAATAAATAAATAAAATAAGACCATAAACCAAAGCAGAATCAATATGAAACGCATATAGTCAGGAAAAACCCATGGAACCATTCAAACAACACCCAGTCAAATAATATTAGTTAACAAAATAAATAAAACCAGAATAAAATCAAGGCAACAAGGCAACAAGCAACTAGCAGAAAGGAAATATGAATCAGAAAATAAATCAAAATAAATCAGATCTAATCAATGTATAACTATAATCAAACAACATCAAAATGAATAATGAATAATAAATGAATGAATGAATACTGAATGCGAGAAGAACAGCGGAAGATATTCACAAACTGAGGAACTACAGAAAATGAAAGTGTGTAACGCTTAACAGACATAGCCGACATAATGTAGTAAAAACATTCCGGTATCTCACTAAATAAAGTACGCTACACTATCCGTTGATAATAATTACAAATTATCCCTAGTTGGTAACCATCCGCAGCACCGGCAGCCAAATATTATCGGCCACGAGCATTCTACTTATTTACCATATAATACTCGGCCATTCATCCCGTAACGGTTATCCACCGACCAACTATCAGCCGCGCAGCAGTTACCCACCGCGCGCCAGATATCTGCTACATCACAGTTACCGACAGATAAACTATCCGTCGCGCAACCGCGCCATCCTAGGAAGCCATACTTACCATCAGACTTACCATAAAAGATAAGTCCGATGTCCAATACTATTCACGGAAAGGTAATTATAAACGGACAAAGACCCCAGACGGATTAAAATCAAGAATAAATCAATTAATAAAACATTACCACGACTCACGGAAAAGGTAATTATAAAAGCAAACGGACAACAAATAAGACCCCCAGACGGATTAAATCAAGTATAAATCAATTAATAAAACAATACCACAGCTATCATTTATTATTTATAAATATATAAATCATACGTTTTCAATAGTGTAGGATGAAGTAAATATTAAGTATAAACAATGATGAAGATAGAATGAAATGAATGAAATGAAATCAACCCGAATAAGATCCGCAGATTGCAGGACGCATTATGTTACTGCCTATCGCGCCGCAGGAAACAAACTACGCAGAACAACGAAACAAGAAACCGCCACAGAACGAAAGGCCGAATAAATAAACGAATGAAACATTCAACCTAAACAGAATCGAAATCAAATATAACCATCTAACAACGTCAAATAACGCATACAGTCAGGAAAGTCACGTAGGACCAATCAAACAACACCCAGTCAGTTAATAAAATAAATGAAACAAAATAGAATCAAAGCAACCAAGGCAGCAGGTAGCTAGCAGAAAGGAAATATAAAAAAAAGAAAAAGAAAAGAAACAAACAAGGTACGATAATGATTATAATAACGCATAATAAAATTAAACAAGAGTAGCACAAGTTAATGACATGAATATTAATTCCTACAGTACACAGTACACCGTCATCAAAGAGCTATACTATTATTGAAGAGAAACGGCTTGAATAAATTGAATTAAAGAATACCAGAGAAGAATATCAAAATGTCAAAATGTCCAAGGAATGTCCAAGGATAGAGGTGACAAGAAATAAAATAAAATAAATGATGGTAAACAGTGATACGTGGCACAAATAAATTAAATATAGAAAAATATATATAGGATAATCGTATGCAAACAAACCATAATTATATTAATATTAATACCATTTACAGAACTTTGTACTATCATGGGTCAAAATAAACTAAATCTTGACAGTTACCTTGATTCAATTAATTCAGAATGAATGAACAATGACAGCATGAAATGAACGACTGAACAATGAAATCAATTAAAGATATTAAAGAAGAATGAAGTAAAAAATAATAATAAGCATAAAGTATAAAGTGAAGGCCGTAACCAACCTAATGTAGATAATGTAATGTAATGCACTGTAATATAAGTAATGCAATATACTGTAAAACAGAATGTAATAATAAACTGAATACAAAATACAAAATACAAGAAATGAACTCAATAAATATAAACGTAAAGATTATTAACTACAATACTCTATTTCTCACTAGAGTAGATTATAAGTTAGATTGTAAACGGTAAATGGTAGATGATAAATGATCATGTCAATACAATTGCAAACAGAACTAATTAATGAATGACATATCAACATAGAGTAGCTAAAGCAACAAATAAATGAATCAAATATAAAGTACGCAGTTCAATAAACACTATACCAGTGTATAAACTGAAATAAGAATAAAATGGAATAAAATAAAATAGAATAAATAAATAAGTAAATAATAAATAAGAGTACTTGAATGATAAGATTATAATAAAATTCACGCACAATCAAAACATTTGGATGGACAAAACCACTTATCATTGTAGAGAGAGCAAAACTTAATTAAAATAAAGTAAAATAAAGTAAAATAAATCATATCCATTAACTTTAATTGATCAGAATGAATGAGTGAATGAATAATGAATAATGAATAATGAATAATGAATAATGAATGAATGAATGGAACGATTAAGGAAATTAAAGATTAAGGAAAATAAAGAAGGTAAGCAGGCGTGAGTGAAAGCAAGAAAGCAGGAATGTGTCAGAACGAATAAACAATGAGAGAATGAAAGAATGAATGACTGAACAGTGAAGTAATCAATTAAAGATAATAAAGAAGAATGAAGTAAATAACAAGATAAATAATAAGGCATAAAATATAAGGTGAAGGCCGTAACCAACATAATGTAAATAATGTAATGTAATGTAATGTAATGTAATGTAATATAATGTAAAACAAAATGAAATATACTAAATAGATACAAAATACAAGAAATGAACTCAATGAAATATAACCGTAAAGATTATTAGCTACAACACTCTATTTCCTCACCAAAGTAGGTTATAAACTAAATTATAAATGGTAAATGGTAAATGATAAATGATTATGTCAATGCAAATGCAAATAGAACTGGTTATTGAATGACGTATCAAAATAAAGTAACTAAAGCGACCAATAAATCAAATCAAATCAAATGTAAACTGCGTAGTTCGATAAACACTATACCAGTGTATAGACTAACAATAAGTAAATAAATAAGTAAATAAGGATACTTAAATGATAAGATTATAACAAACCATGCACGATCAAAGCATTTGAATGGACAAAACCACTCATCATCATAGAAATAAAAACTAAAGTAAAATAAATCATATCATATCCATTAATTTAACTTTAATTGATCAGAATGAATGAATGAGTTAATGAATAATGACTGAATGAATGGGAAGATTAAGGAAATGCAAGATTTAGAAAAATAAAGAAGGTAAGGAAGGTAACGTGAGTGAAAGAAGGCGTGAATGAAAGCAAGAAAGCATGAATGTAATACAATATTATAAGTAAGTAAGTAAAGGAAAGGAAAGTAAATGAGCATCCACCACGCAACAAATAAACTACACAAACAATTTACACCAAAAGCACAAAAGCAATCTCTCATCACACCACATCATTAAAACAAACACACTAAATCTGAAAGAAACTAAAACAAAACTGGAACTGGAACAAGAAGAACAATTAAAAACACAACCCGGATTGTCCAATTTATTTATTTATTAATCAATTCAATTTATTTCAGCACATGTCACTGCTGCATCGTCGTGAAAAGACCAAAATGAAATATGTAAGCCATGATATAAGAAAGAAATAAAGGAATAAATACGATGAATACTATGAATGAGATAATCGAAAATCAAAATCGAAAGAACAAGAAAAGTAAACCGCGTAACCGCATAAACCGCGTAACCACGTAACCAATAAACACGTTAAATACGTTGCACCACGGATATGAATCGATGAAAATGACAAATAGAATAAAATAAAATAATAAACCAAACAATAAGCCGAACAACCGGATGACAAGCGGACTACGTATTGAATCACAAAATAAAAGGAAATAAATAAATGCAATACCCGTAATGACGTGAAAGACATGAAATAATATGAACCATGAGATATGAAATATGAATGTAGATGGTAAATAAAATAAATAAAATAGAATAGAATACGATGGGTAATGAAATAAATAAAACGAGGCAGCAATGTAAACCGCGTAAACCATTAACACATGAAAAAACGATATTAACCACTGATATTAATATATATAGAACCAAATAGAACGGTAAATACGATAAGACGATAAATAAATTGAACAATTAAATCACGCAGAGGGACGTAAATTGCGCAGGTTTATTAATCACACAATTATACCGTTGCGAATAAATAAATAAGTAAAAGACAACAATGAGATAAAATAAAATTACGGTAATAAACGAATAAAACAGATAATGAATATAACGCAAGTTGCATAAATTATCAAGGCACACTACCCCACTGTACTATAATAAATAAAATAAAATAAATAAATGAAACAAATAACACAGAATAACACAAAATAGTATGAACTATGGTTAAACTTTGATTCCAGGGACATAAAATTATTGCCCTTTTTTTTGCTCTTTAATAGTTTTTGACACGTAAAATCCATAAATGTAGGTCGTAACTTTAGGAAATTAGCGGTTCAAAAGTTATGAGTATGTAAAGTTCGCGTTTTTAGGGTATTTTACACGCTACTTTGACGCCATGTTGCTTCCATCTATTATTTGATTGGCCCGCATAGATGAGCTTTCAAAGTTCCTATGTATCATACTACCAACCTAAAAATTTTAAAGAGGGCCCTTTAAAAGAAATTATTACATTTCAACAGTATTATTATTTCACGAAAGCGTTGCCGACCGCCTGACGGCGGTCGGACTTAAGTATATAGCCTAACCTAATCTAATACTTCCGCTTACCTTATTTAAAAATATATTGTTTCTTAATTGCCTCCATTAATGATTCCATCATATCGACTTTATTTTTGCGGCAAAATCGACGCCATAAATACTCGCACAGGCGGTCGGCGAAATCATTATCGTGGAAAACAAATTCAAATGAAACATTTGATTTATCCCGCCAAAATGGCCGCCGAATGCTCATCAATGCGGGCCAATCAAATAATAGATGGAAGCAACATGGCGTCAAAGTAGCGTGTAAAATACCCCAAAAACGTGAAACTTTACATACTCATAACTTTTGAACCGCTAATTTCCTAAAGTTACGACCTACATTTATGGATTCTACGTGTCAAAAACTACTAAAGAGCAAGAAAAAAGGGCAATAATTTTATGTCCCTGGAATCAAAGTTCAGCCAAACGAAACATAAAATAAAATGAAAATAAATTATGTAAATTGTTAAACGTGTTAAAATGACGATGGAAAATACTGAAAATAATAAGATAAGAAAAGAAAATAAGAAAAAACGATGGTGAATAAATATGCAACACCGGAAACACCGAATAATCGAATAATCGAATCGATTAATCGATTGTGTTAATAAATAATAAATAATTAAGGGGGTAGACACGGCACGTGACCTCTCCGATTCGGGACGTCGGTATTACAGCAGTTTTTTCGTTGGGCCTGGTGGAGCCACTTGCGTGGTCTGTTACGAACTTGAAAGGTTTAATTCTCAGCTAGCGTGCGCGCAACACGATCTAGGAATGCAACAGCGCCTCAAGCATTTTTACAAACACATTCAAATGCTCATCTCGCCAGAGGCATCGCGACGATCCGCCTGAAGAACGAAAGCGAAACATTGGCGCGTGGTTAGAGTGAGATGTAGGGTGATCATGCTATCCTTCTTTCAACCTAAATGATAGAATTGTCCCGCTCCGATAAATTCTGACTGACTGAACGCGTGGATTTTATATAGCGCACCGTAGCACCCCTCGCTGCTGAAAAATATATGCCTACTCTGAAGAACCGAAGGAACGTGCAATCTGAGAAACTTTTAAAAAAAAGTTATTAACTTCTTTAAATAAATGTTTCTTAATTAATAAAAATATACAGGATACGTCATGCAATTTCTGACGGGTTATATCTTGAATTTGATAAGAGATAGGAAAAAGCTGTTTATGTAAAAGTTCAATGGTATGATAATGTCTATTTTTCTGTGATTTCATCTTCTCCGTGAATGTAATGATGCACTCAAAAATGCAAATCCACTTTTTATTTAAATGGAATTGCATCAATTTTTACTTGTGTCAACTCCTTGAAACATTCTGCATAAAAAAGTACTAAGTATGGTACTATTAGAACTAATAAATGGAGGGACCTCGCATATATTCAGCCGAGATGTCAAATCTCGAATTAGATGCGACGACCAGCCAAGCGTGAACGTAGAAAGGGACAGACAGTGGAGGAGAGAGAGAGCGGTCTAATGATCAAAGGAAAGAGCCGAAACGTATCGGTGTGACTAATACTAATTCAATTATAAAACTTTTTTATTTTTGACTTTTTTTTACTGAAACTTTTACTAGCGCATTGGTGAAATTTTTCTGATTAAAATCATACCAAACACGATATAGTTTGAATGGGGCGAGGTTTGTTATGGGGCGCTGTGGAAAATCCAGGCGGGCGGCACTCAAATCTTAGCGAAAGGGGACAATCTCAACATTCAGAATGTGAGAAGGACAGCATGACTGTAGTGCGTCTTTCTCAGCGTTCGGGCGATGTTGCCTTTTTCGCTTGCCTTCGCAGCACAGTTCGAGTGACGTAATCAAGCTAACGCTTGATTCTGACTACGATTCCAACTCGGCAGCCTTTCTACTTAGACGCCACCTTATAACTACTAGCTGAACTAAATTTGTCACGTGACTTGCTTTGTAGTATCCAGATAATGGCGGAACTCGTCTTTGGGAATGCTTTTACGGGAATCGGTTATTCGTCCTTATAGGAGAAGATCTTGAGCTGAATAAGGGCTCATTCGAAAGAGGAAGGTTCAATGCAGGGCGATCAACTCACCGTTTGAGTCACAAAACTCTTTTAGTGACCTAAAAATGCTTCGATTTCGCAACTGCATTTTGTCGATTTTTTCTTCTACTTTCGACACTGATATTATTAAATATGGACATAATCTCGTTAAACCATGAGTTGACCGCCCTGCATTGTACCTTCCTCTTTCGAATGAGCCCTCACCCAGCCCTATGTGTTCTCATATAAGGACAAATAACCGATTCCCGTAAACCCATTAATAGGCCCATATTTGCCGGTAATGTCACCTCGCTGCATTACCCGTGTCTACCCCCTGAAATAATACAGCGGAATAACGCGCCAGTCAAACGCATGCAACCAGATAGTAAAATAAAGTAAATTAATATTAATAACACAAATAACGATGAAATAACGATGAAATATGGAAAAATAATGAAAAATATCGATGCACTTTCACACAAATCACTTAATAAACCGACGCAATTAACGGAAAACATTAACGGAAAACCTAATAAAATCAGAATAAAGGAATAAAAATAATACGTCACCAAACCGTTGACCTAATTTCTCATCGTCTGTCCTCTTCTATCCAAGGCCCGGGCCGCGCGTGCAGGTTGACTATCCTTGTCCAACCACAGCAGCCATCTTGAAAACCTGTCAATCCTGTCTGATCTTGCATGCGTTGTCTTCATTAATTTAGTCGAAAAAAGTCACAAAAAACGCGGAATTTTAATGCGAAACGTTCCCGATTAATCGAAATTATCCGTAAATAATGTCTAATGTTCATAATTAACGCCACGAATACCGGGAACACACGTGGAAATGCCGCGTAACACGCACATCACATTTTCGTTATTTAACAATAAATTAACACATTATTTAATCACAAAACACAACAATAGCACTCCCGAACACTTAATAAACACTATTTAACAAAAAACGCGAATAAATAAGCCGCTTTTCACCGCGTTGCGAAACTAACCACGGAGCGACCACGAAACACGTCCGCTCTCCTCGACGCGTCGAGCGGGAATCCCACCCTAACCCTAACCCTAACCTAACCCTAACCCTAACCCTAACCTAACCCTAACCCTAACCCTAACCCTAACCCTAACCCTTACCCAACCTAACTCTAACTTTTTTTTTTTTTAATTTTTAACGAGGTGGGAAAAATGCATTTATGCAGACCGGGCGAGATGTTGTATGCCCGGTACTGTGGGACTCCCTATTAGGTCTACCCACTAAAAAACCCACCTCGCTTTCCCTTCCTCGGAGCCTAGGCCTATTCCAGAATATTCCTCCCCCGGAACCGCTATGACCAGTGGTCATCAGCACTACTTCGGGGAAGGGGCGGCACCAGCAGGCTACTCTTATCCCAGAGGAGCTCCCCTCCTCGACACTACGGGCGGGCGTACGGCGATTTCGATAGTTATATCATTTAGACACATGACACTCCTACTCTGGGCGTAACTAACATTAAACCTTGGGTGCTTAGCACTTTTCCTCTTCCTGGACCCGCCTTCCGGGTATCTCCTTGTCTTAGGGGCGCGTCTAGCCCTCTCTCGACATCCTTCCATATGCGGAAGGTATATCGCGTCAAAGCCGGTCATATAATAAAATCATCGAGTCAAATAGTTAAAAAATGTCAAGTCAGGTCATAAAATAAAATCCATTAAATAATAAAACTGGTGTCAACCCCTGCTCCCAGGTAATTAAGATCATTCCACGTCAAAAGTTAAAATAAATAAATAAATAAGTAAATAAATAATCAAATAAATAGGACACACTTCACATAATGTATAAAAAACGTATACTTCACACCCACAGGTCTGGTGTGTAAAGGGCACCAAGACCACACAAACACAGTTAAATAAATAAGTCAAACACTGCACATCATACTTAGGAGGGGGGAGGGGCAGGAGGAGGTCTTCTCCTACTCCTCCGTGTTGCCTCTCTACTCCTCTCGTAGGCTTCCTTTTCCCTCAGTGCCTTCGTGATGAAGTCAATCACTGCTCCTCTCCTCATGGTATCCTTCAGCAAGTCCACGAAATTTGCCGCGTTAAGGTCAACGTTCAATTTGGTCACGAGGTCCTCTCTTTCGTTGTTCCACCGCGTACAATGAAACAGGAAATGTTCCGGATTATCCTCAATTCCGGGGCAGAACCAACATGTTGCTTGTTCTTGTTTACCAATCTTCATCAGGTACGATCCAAAACATCCGTGTCCGGTGATTGTCTGCACAAGATGAAAATTCAACTGTTTCGGTCCCCACCCGATCCATTCCCTGAGGTGGGGGATCAGCTCGAAGGTCCACCTTCCTTTGGTGGACTCCTCCCATTTCCGCTGCCACTCCTTCAACGTCACCTCACGAGCCTCTGTCTTTATGTTATTCACTGTTTCATACGTGCAGGCCCCCATCTCTTTTTTTCTATAATAGATACTTTCTCTCTCTTTAATAAGTAGGTCAATCGGAATTTGCCCCGTGATCACGCATAGCGCGTCCGCTGAGGTGGTACGATATGCCTGAGCCAACCTTAAAAGGGCCGTACGCTGTGTACTAATTAGCCGGTTGACGTTGGTCTTCATCTGCAGCCCTGTAGCCCACATCGGGGCGGCGTAGACGATCACGGATTCAACAACCTTATAGTATAACTTGCGTGCCTGATTTCTCGCTCCTCCTAAATTAGGCATAAGTTGCGCCAGCGTGTTTGCGTACCTGAGTGCCTTATCGCAAGTTGTGACCACATGCGCCCGGAAGCTCCTATTCATCTCTATTATCACTCCCAGGTACCTGGCCTGTCTAGCCGTCGATATCGTCGTATCTCTACACCTGATATTTAGGCCACCTGCCACCTTACGCCCGGTTAATAGAATAATTTCAGTTTTATGGTGGGCTAGGCTCAGACCTTCCGTCCCGTACCAAATATTCATATCTGCGATCGTCCACTCCGCAATCCTCACCATTCTCTCTAAATCCTCGTCAATTATGACGATCCCTATGTCGTCGGCATAGCCAATGACGTGGACATCTCTACGGAGTGTATGCCGCAGCAACCCATCATACACAATGTTCCACAGTATTGGTCCGATAACCGACCCTTGTGGCACGCCCCCGAATACCTGGAACCGCATTTCCCCCTCTTTGGTATCAAATACAATCCATCGGTCCATGAGGTAGCTGCGCATCAGTCCTCTAAGCATGTTGGAGAAACCCCTCTCCCTTAGACAGC